CCCAGCCAGCTATGCTGGCTGGGGAATTCTGGGAGTTGAAATCCACTTATCTTAAAGTGGTCAAGTTTGGACAACACTGATCTAGTGTCTCTAGATCAACTTTCCCCAATGATGCTGCTCTAAACCATAAGGCATGCTCTGTGAAAAAGCATGGGCTCTGTAATCCAGAGGGGTGGATTAACTTCTCAATATTGTCCTAAAGAGGACAGTCCAGAAGATGGGCTGAAGGAGGATAATCCAGCCCAATTTATGGAGCAAAGCAAGCCTTGGGTTCTTCTAGAAGAAGCCTGCCTAGACCATTGCCCTCAAGTTGGTGTGAACTCTTAGCCAGCAAAGGAGTAGATTCACTCCAGAATGATCTGTCTTCAGCTTGGTCTGTTACGCCTTTCAGTCTCTTTGTTTCTTCTTAAATCTCAACTACAAATGTCACCATGGGATATATATGCAAAGAGACCATAGGAGATCCATAGGGGAGAAAGAGCTCCCATAAACAGACTGAGTCTACTAGTCTATGGCCTGGAAGATCTTGCTTCTTGCTCTAGTTCTTTGGAAGCATACATATATTTGTGTGAATACACAGAACACATTGCATTGCCATAACCTCTCAAGCAATGAAGATCTCATCTCCTGAGGCTCTGGAAGAGCTAACAAGAAGGAGCTGGAACCCAACACCAGAGTAACATGAGTTTCTGATTCAGATGCCCAAACCAATGGCAAAGGGTGCGAGAGACACCAGGGGGAGTAGGAAATAAAAAAGGGAGATTAATCTCTGGTAAAAAAAAAAAAATCTACTTGAAGCCCATGCACCATGAAGTTGTCAAGGTTGGGAAATATAGGTCTAATGCATCCTATTAAGTCAAACACCTCTTACGCAGAATTTAGGGTGTTGCCTCCTGCCAGATCAATTTTTTTGTCTCTTTGAAGCCCAAAATAGATTCTCCAGGATTCTTTTTCCCATCAACTGTATTCAAACTTTTTTGAAGAGATTAAAAGAATCGAGGCCTTTATATGATCCTGTTCTTTTCAAAGGAGCCAGGCTTCCAGTGACCTGCAAACAAAAATATTCCTTATTTTGGGGGACAGCCCCAGGCACCAACGCAAAGGCCATGGGCCACCCCAGCCACAAAAAGACTTCTCATGCAGCAGATGAAGACACAGCTTGACCAGTAGCTGTGGTGATTTCCACCACAAATCAGATGGAAACTGAGTTCCATCAAGGTCACCTTTACCGTAAACCTGCCTCCTTCTGTGAAAAGCACCTCTTAAACAATCATCACCTTAGTGAAGTGGTGCTGCCAGGAAGAACTGACCACAGTAAGAAATTAAGGAAAAGTTGGGATCTGTACACAGAAACCAGGCGTTATGATATTGGCTCTAATCTAGCAGAATCTCTAATTTATTTAAATTCATTCCTAGGAAATCTAGAGAGGCAATTATATTCTAGGGCAGGGTTCAAAAACAGAAAGGAGCAAGCTATAATATCCTAGGGGAATGAGCTGGCAGGAACAGGAATATTAAGGAAAGAAAGGAAAATATATACCAGTTTTAAGCCTGTACGTTCTTTAGAGCAACTTCAAAACCTTTGCAAGACCTGCTTGTTGAAAGCAAGGGGGGTGTATTTGTGTTTTCCTTTGATTGTTGATTAATTCTCTCACTTGGAAGAAACTAGAAGGCTACAAGAAAATCTGTCTGTCCCTCCTTCCCCAAGCCAGCATCACACAACGGGGGGTTGGGGGGGGTCACAACACATCCATGAAGCTGCTGCAAGATTAATGGGGATGTACAAACATTTGTGGAGTGGGGGAAAACCATACAGCCTGATCAAATGTATTGTCATTTAACTGGAAAGCAGGGAAGATGGTCTGCAAAGGTTGTGATTCTGGAGGAGGGGTAGGAAAAGAGAGCAGATAGCAACAGGGCAGCAGGGACAAGCAAGGACCTCCCCCACCACACACACACACACACACACACACTAGACAAGCACAATTCAGGAACCTTCACAAAAAATGCTTCCATATAACCAAAAGACTCCAAGCAGCCAATGCTCTGCAAAGCAAGAGACTCAAAGGCCACTAAATTAAGCCCCCCCCCCCCATTTTTTTAGGAGATCAGAGAGCTCAGTGTTCATCTGGGGGCTTTCCCCGTTCACACACAGAAGCAAAGAGGGAAGCCTGCGTGCTAAATAACCATTTCTGATCGCAGCCTTCCTAACCATATTGTCTTAGACATCCTTTTGGGACATCCTTAAGGCATCTTTAACCTCCCAAATTCTAGGTCTTCTGGACCCCCAGGGTGCCCTTTTTGCAGACCCCCCCATTCTCCACAAGTCATTTGTGCTCTGAATCACACAACCTCTCTCGCCAGCTACAAACCCAACCCGCTTTTTTCATGGCAATCAACCCGTTCTTACCTGCATGCTACCCCATCCCAAATCTCCACCCAAAATGCACCACCTAACCCTTGAGGAACGGACGCTTGTCCCACCTAACAGCAGTGCTCGGAAAGCAGAGCCCTCAACCGAAACCTTCATGGGGCCCTCATTCCCACCCCTGTGCCCCATACCTCCCAACCCCCCATTTCCATGCTGCAGCCTCCCATGTCATCTTTGAAGAGACAACCCCCGTTTCTCCTTTGCCCCTCACCTTGGCATCCTAGCTCCATCCCTCCACTGTGCCCTTCCAACCTCTTTCCCCCAACCCTTCTAATCCAGATATTCATGCACCCAAACCCGCCTGCTCCCTGTCCTTGCGCGGTCAACTCTCCCCCCATTTCTACTCTGTGTAGACCTCAGTGTCTTAAGGCAAACCTTCCCCCATGGTGGTGGACCTCAATTCTCATCATTCCCATCTGCATGGGCCAAAAGGACTGTGTGGTCAGCTGATACCCAACAGATCTTGGCAGAGGGAGGACGCCTTATGCTTATGCTGTCCTTCCAGCCCTTGGGGGAGACCCCTCTATTTTCCCCTGCCCACAATCTCCTCCAACCCCAACCTTCATCATGCACCTCCTACTCTCTGCTCCCCCAACCCCACATCCCTCTCCCCCTCAGTGGCTCGTCTTGCCACCCACCCCCCGAATTCCACCCATCCCCCAAATCCCAGAGGCGACCCCCAAACCCTCCCGTCTCAATGCTTCCTCCCCCCAGGAGCTCATGCAACCTTCTCCCTCCACATGCCCCTTCCCCCTCCCCAAATCTCCAAGAACTCCCTTCCGATCCGAGACCCTCCCAGTCCCCCCACCCAATGGACGTAGGCTTGAGATCCT